GGGCGCTCGGGTCCCGCCGGGCCGGGGCTTGTATCTTACCCCCTTTGCAAGGCGCTGGGTTCTTGCAGGTGTGGATGTGGTCTGGATGTTGTCCTGTGTCCTGTGGTCTCTATTTTAGGAAGATTTTTCTTTGGTATATTTTAATAGCTCTATGTGTTTTTGGGAGGAGATTTCCACTGCTCTACTCACGCCGCCATCCTGGCTCCGCCCCTCGGTTGGGTTTTTTTTAAGTATATTTTTCTTTTAGAGAAGTTTTAGGTTCCAGCAAAATGGAGCAAGAGGTACAGAGTGTGCACCTTCACATGCACAGCCTCCCCCACAACCAACACCCTGCACCAGAGGGGGCATTTGTTATAGTCGGTGAACCTACATTGACAGGTCATTATCACCCATGGTCCGTAGTTTACATCAGGGTTCACTCTTGGTGGTGTATGTACACTCTATGGGTTTTGGCAAATGTATAATTACATGTATCCATCATTCTAGTATTATATGTAATAGTTTTACTGCCCTAAAAATCCTCTGCCTATTTATCCCTCCTGCTCCCAACCCCTGACAGCCACTGATATTTTTACTATCTCTACAGTTTTGCCTTTTCCAGAATGTTACATAGTTGGAGTCATATATTATGTAGCCATTCCAGACTGGTTTCTTTCACCCAGTAATATGCAAGCAGGTATCCTCCCTGTCTTTTGTGGTTTGATAGCTCATTTCTTTTTAGTGTTGAATAATATTCCTTTGGATGTACCAAGTTATCCATTTACCTATTAAAAGGCATTTTCATTACTTTCAAGTTTTGGCAATTATGAATAAAGCTGCTATGAATATCTGTGTAGACATAAGTTTTCAACTCATTTGGTTAAATATCAAGGAACTCTATTGCCAGAGCATATGGTAAGAATATGTTTAGTTCTAAAAGAAACTGCCAAGCTGTTTTGCAAAAGCAGCTATATCATTTTGCATTTGCACCAGCAAGGAATAAGAGTTCTTTTTGCTTCACATCCTTACCAGCATTTGGTGTTATCAGTGTTTTTTATTTTAGTCATTTTAGTAGATTTATAATGGTATCATTTTAATTCGCAATTTGATTTCTAATTTACAATTCCCTGATGACATAAGGTGTTGAGTGTGTCTTCATACGCTGTATATCTGTTTATTTTTTTGATGAGATGTCTGTTCAGGTCTTTTCGCCATTTTTTTGTCAGGTTAGTTGTTTTCTTATCCTTGAGTTTTAAGAGTTCTTTTTATATTGAATAACTGTCCTTTATCAGAGCCTTTATCAGATGCGTCTTTTGAAAATATTTTCTCCTGGACTGTGGCTTTTCTTCCGTTTCTTTTGACATTGTCTTTCAAAGAGCATAAATTTTAATTTTAATGAAGTCTAGCTATCAGTGATTTGCATGAATTCCTTTTCTTTGGTATTTTATTTAGAAAAAATATCCAAGGTCATCTATATCTTCTCTTAGGTTATCTTATAGGAGTTCTGTAGTTTTGCATTTTATATTTAGGTATATGATCCATTTTGAGTTTTTTTTTTTTTAATGGTGTAAGGTCTGTGTAGATTCATTTTTGCATGTGAATGTCCAGTTGTCCCAGGACCATTTGTTTAAAAGTCTCTTTTCTCCACTGTACTGCCTTTGCTCCTTTGTCAAAGATCAGTTGACTCTACTTATTTAGGTCTATTTCTAGGTTCTGTATTCTGTTCCATTGGTCTATTTGTCTTGTTTTGTTTTAAAGAAATTGTTATATATAAAAGAAGTGAAAAAGAGGCCATACGTTGTAGATGTAAGTAGATATTCCCATTTCAGATGCTCAAAGAAAAAACAGAGGTCCATGAGTCACTAAGGCAGAGGAAAAGGCACCGAAATGAAGTCCAGCATAGCGATAACTCTGGAAAAATTACTCTGAAATGTCTTTCCAGTTCCACACAAGTTTCTGATAAAATTGACCTTTTTCTTAGATAACACATACCTTTACTCTAGACATTTATGTTCTTTTCTCCCCTTAAGATATAGAAACATTGGAATGGTTAGTTATTTCATGCATGAAGATCAGTTAACGTATGTTGTGGAGCTAAAATTTTATCTTATGTTGATTTTGCGTTAGTTTCTAATTGTTTAAACAAAGAAATCTGAGGAAAGTGTATGGTGAAATTCTACAGATACAAACCTGACATATACCTTAAGTTTTCATTTTCTTAGAGGAAAGTGGTGGGGAAAATAAATGATAACAAATCTGTGGACTAATAGTGTAAAATGTGAGCATTATATGGGTCCTACAAAAACAATTAGTTGGTTGAATAATGAAGTGAGTGAATGAATAAATAAATACCCTGTCTTGTGCTAAAAAGAATTTAAGACCTGTAAGATTTTCAAATTATCAAGCTCATGAAGCCTCACAATGACAATGTTTTCATTATTTTCTAGTAGGAAAGGATTACTACTGATTGTTTCTTTCCTGGCAGCACATACACCTTTCTTAAAGGCATATGGTGTTACAGAGCAAAGCCTCTGGAGAGAATCAAATCTTATGTAATCTTCACTCCTACTTTCTAGGAGAAATTCCCTTTTGTCAATTATCCCAGTCCCTTTCAGCCATATGGTGCCCTTGTACACTGACCAGCCACTTTAGATCATGTAGTTAAGCACAGCTTTATTCATTCAGGTGAGACCATGTAGGGTTTTGGGTCAGAGTGTAGGCTCTGGTGCTAGACTTGTTGAGTTCACATCTTAACCATCTTCCAGTTGTATGACCTTGGACACATTACTTAACTATACCGTACCTCAGTTTCCTCATGTTTAAAATGTAGATGATAATGTAACTAGATCACATGGATATGAATATGTGTATGTATTTTTTTGGTTTGCTTATTCTGTTTGTTTTTAAAACATTTATGTTACATGTACAATGTATCAGGCACTAAGTACTTTGTTAATAAGAACTCATCTTTTTACGGCTAAAGGTACATAACTGTCAAAAATACAATAATACAATAAAAAAGACATAACAAAAGTCAAAATATAGTAATCTAGAAAAGAATTTCACCATATGATTGGGTATTAAAATTTGATATGGTAAGAATAGCTGTAAAGAGAGTTTAATAGATCAGCAAGTACAAAGGATGTAAACAGACTGTTCACAGAAAAACAAATGCAGACAGCTAGTAAACATGAAAGGGTGCTTGACAGCACTATTAGTCTGGCTAACATAAATTAAAACTGTAAGACACTATGTTTTGCCCATCAGATTGTAAAAATTCAGCTTAATGATACGCATCACTGGTGTTTTTTTTTAACTTAGAGAAGTACTTGTACATGGTTAAATATTCAGTATGTGTTAGCTATAATTATTTATCAGTAGTTGCAAGTGCTAGACTCAGTGATTACACCATGAATAAGATCTGCTCCCTACCCCTTTCACTCAGAATATGTTTCCTTGTGCACAGGTCCTGTTAACATCTTCTATGTTAATTTGGGTTTGGGCATTTTTCATTTCATTTTTTAGTTGAAGTCAAGTGATTTCACTGTTTTGAAGCAACTGCTGCCTCTGTTGGAGACGGTGTCCCGCACATACCCTGACCCTGTCATCCAAGAACTTGCTGTGGATCTCCGCATCACCATCTCTACCCGTGGGGCCTTTTCCACTGAGGCTGTCAGTATAGCTGCCCAAAGTACCCTGAACAAAAAGGATGCAGAAGGGAAAACAGAAGCGTGTCAACAAGCAAGTCATGGAAGAAGCACTGATGAGTCTCGTAGCCACTTTGAGCAACATCAAAGCCATGAAAAACCCAAGCAGACAGGCCTGAAGTCTGCTGCACGCGTTCCTCAGGTCAGTCAGCACAGCCCTATTACAAACCAGAAATCTGGAAGCATAACCACAGAACAGCTGCAGGAGGTTCTTTTATCAGCTTATGATCCTCAGATTCCAACACGGGCTGCTGCCCTGCGGACTCTTTCCCACTGGATAGAGCAGAGAGAAGCAAAAGCCCTTGAGTTGCAAGAGAAGCTTCTCACGGTGAGTAGAAAACACCACAGTAACACGCATATTAATAATAGGTCCCACTCCATGTTGAAACATTTGAGACAAAATAGTCCACATAAAGTGCTATAGTGATAGGCACATACTGTGCACCTAATAAAGCTTTGCTGCCGTTGTTATTACTGTTATCTCTTTCGTATACTTTAGCCATTGATTAAGAATTACAGTTCTGATTGAAAACATTTATTTTTTGTCACTAAAGTATTAGAACCATTAGTGTATTAAATAATAATAACCATTGTTTATCGAGCAGGTCCTATACCTTTTAGACACTGTCTCTAATCCTCACAACAGCTGTAATATTGATATTATCCTCATTTTATAGAAGAGAAAATTGAGGCATGCAAATGTGCCAAGATCTGCTGGCACTGAAGTGTTGCTAAAAACCTCACATTACATGTTTCCTTTGAGTAATCATCAAAAATATCCTTCCCTGCACACCTATTTAGAAGTGAATGCTGTTAATATCTTTGGAATTTTCTTTAACTTATTTAATTTAACATTCACCTGCTGTGCATAATTGGCCAACAAGTCTTGTCAATTCTTTTTCCAAGAAGTCTTTCAAGTCTGTCTCTTTCTCTCTATTCCCATGGCCACAACCCTGGCTTAAGCTCTCTTTACTGCATACATGATCCTCACCACTTCCAACCTGGCTGACTTCCCAGTTTAATTTTCAGCTCTCCTCCCAGTTTAATTTTGGCTCTCCCTGACATGCTGCAGATGTGAAGACCAGCAGCATCAAGCTGATATCAAGAATCACCAGTATATATGGAGTAGGCATTCCCCTCTTCCCCTGGACACCAAGCAGGGGGAACATGGACACATGGCCACTGTTTTTCTCTGGCCCTCTTTTGAGGGTGTAAACCTAAATTGTCACTGTCATATATTCTAGATAAGCAGTACTTACTACAGTTGACACACCCTGGTGGGTTCTTAAATTGTGAAATGTGTTGAGAGTAATTTTTTATTAATGCCAAATGAAGTGCTGAAATTTGCAAAAGATTTTTTAAAATAATTAAAAATAGATTCCAGGTTATCCCAATAATAACATCTCTGTCTGTCACTTGCATTTCCATATGCTTTCTGAGTGCAAGAGAAAAGGATTAAGTTATAGCAAATGTGCCATCAGTTGGTCCTAACTCCAAACCAGACCTTCTGTGAATCATGACCTGTAATCTGTCATGTCATATGTGAGAATGTTGTCCACCATGGGCTATAATTCAAAAAATGTTGAAGATTGTTCTTCCAGATTTTGGTTTCCATGCCTGCTTTTGTTGTATGCTTGACTACTTCAAGAAGTATCTCCCATTAATTGCCATTCTTTCTTAACTATTAAAGGAATGGGACTTTAAACATACATACTGTTTCCCCCATGAGATTCTAAGTCAGACCAGTGTCTAGCTAAGACAAACAGAAGAAAAACATTTATCCTTTGAGGCTGCTATAAGGGTCTCTTAAATCTTGCCTACTTTTTGTGAACCCTATCACTGCTGTATTTTGTGGTTGCAGGTATTCTTGGAGAACTTGGACCATGAAGACACCTTTGTATATTTATCTGCTATTCAGGGTAAGTTAGTCCTGGTTAAAGCTCTTTGAGTCTGTGGACCAAAAATTATGTCAGATATGTCTGCAGAAAATTTCTGAAGTCATAGAGCCACAAAACTGCTGGTCATTTTCTCCATCTTTGTGCCACCCAGCTAGGATTTGACCTACATCATAATAATAGTATTCCTGTAGGGTTCCCAAAGGATCCCTGTAGAGTTCATTGTCTCATAATGATGAGGAGGTCTTTGTTTATGTTTATTTATCATTCTATACGTTAAAGCCAATTTCCTGTAATTCAAGGAGGTAAGGAACGGCTCACGCATGGACTCTCATTATGTACTTGACTACTTTTTGTTTTTTGACTACTGTCAGTGTACACCTTTGCTTTGTCTTTAAGCTGAAAGAATCTCAGTTTATAATGTTTCTTCTCCAACACATTTTTTGCAATAATTTTACTTCTCTTGTGATTCTTTGCTGTTTTCTCCACCTCCATTAATTTGTGGGTTCCACATCTAGAGAGGGGCCCTAAGAAAAGGGGTGTATATCATTAGGCACCCTTCCCAAAAGGGCAAGAAGGTCGGCTCTAGCTCAGTTTCTCTTGATTCCATCAGTGGAGTATAATCATCAAGAACTAGGTAAGACTCTGGAGACAGACCACTTTGGTGTACCTCCCATTGCTTTGCTTCTCAGCTGCACATACTGACAAATTACTTAATCTCCCTGGGCTTCAGTTTCTTATCTGTAAAAGGGGAGGGCTAAATAGGAATGTAGAATGTTACAGCTACTTTGGAAAACAGTTTTGCAATTCCTTGGAAGATAAACAGAGTTACCACTTGACCCAGCAGTTCCACTCCTAGATGCATACCCAAGAGTAATGAAAACACATTTCCACATGAGAACTCGTACATGAATATTCTTAGCGTCATTGTTCATACTAGCCAAAAGGTGGAAACAGCACAAATGTCTAACAACTGATGAATGGATAACCAAATGTAGTCTGTCCATGCAATGGAATATTAATCAGCCACTAAAAAAAAGCACTTACACATGTTACAGCATGGATGAACCTTGAAAATATTGTAAGTGGAAGAAGCCAGTCACAAAAGGCCACTCACTATACGGTTCCTTTATAGGAAATGTCCAGAATAGGGGAACTTACAGAAACAGAAAGTAGATTAGTAGGGCTGGGGGGAAAGGGGAGAGGGTTGGGAAGTGATAGCCATAGGGTACAGAGTGTCTTTCTTGGGGTGATGGAAACATTCTAAAAATGATTGTGGTGATGGTAGCACACTCTGTCAGTATACTGGGAACCATTAAATTATTTACTTTAAATTGGTGAATTTTATGGTATGTGAATTATATATCAATAAAACTGTCACCAAAAAAAATAATAATAAAATTGAATAAGTGGGGAGAAGAACAAAACTGTCAGAGCTTATGATATCATCATATGTCAAAGATATATCATCATATGTCAGACATATGATTAAATGTAATGTGGTAGATGGGATCCTGGAACAGAAAAAGGACATTAGGGGAAAACTAAGAGAATCTGACTAAATTATGGACTTTAGTTGATAATAAAGTGTCAATATTAGTTCATTACTTGTGATAAACGTTCCAAGGTAATGTAAAAGTTAATAATAGGGGCAACTGGTTATAGAGTATATGAGAACTCTGTGCTAGCACCTCAATAATTCTGTAAATCTAAAACTATTCTATCATAAAAAGTTTGCTTATAAACAGGGACTAATAATGAGAATTAGAGTAAATGCCTTGAAAGTGCTTAGCACCTAGTGAGTGTTCAATGTATGTTAGTCATTATGATTTTAATATTATCACCATCATCATCATATCACTACTACTTCTACTTGTCAAGTAGAAGGTAATAATGCTAGATAATAATGTGGTGATATGTGTAACACAGATCTAAACCTTGAGTTGGCAGATTCTATCAGGGAATTATTGCTACATAACAAACTACCCAGTACTCAGTAGCTTAAAACACCAATCATTTGTGATCATTCTCACATCTGTAGACCAGTGAGGCTCTGCTGATCTGGCCTGGCCTTGGCTGGAGGCTCTGCTTCTCCCTGCAGGTCTGTGGACTGTCTGCAGTAGCTCTGCTGCACCTGTTCCTCATCATCGCTGGCCCAGTGACCTGCCTGGAATTATTCTTGTGATGATGGCAGAAGTGTAAGAGAGCAAGGGTAAACTCGAGAGGCCCCTTCAGGCTTAAGCTTGCAACTGGCATCCTATCATTTCTGCCTCATTCTGTTAGCTAAAGCAATAAAGCAAGTCATATGGCCCAACTCAAAAGTCAAGAAGTGGAGAAAAATACTGTACTGTGTCCCTTTGGTGGGACAAACTGCCAAGTCACAGAGCAAAGGGCATGGATGCAGGGAGGGGTGAGGAATTCAAGCCAGAAATGAGTCCTTCACACTGATGTGTTCTGTTTATCTGCAAAAGGCAAGGTTCTCTACCATTTGCAACAACGTGGATGGAGCTGGAGGGTATTATGCTCAGTGAAATAAGCCAGGCGGAGAAAGACAAGTACCAAATGATTTCACTTATATGTGGAGTATAAGAACAAAGGAAAACTGAAGGAACAAAACAGCAGCAGACTCACAGAACCCAAGAATGGACTAATAGTTACCAAAGGGAAAGGGACTGGGGACGATGGATGGGAAGGGAGGGATAAGGGCGGGGAAAAAGAAAGGGGGCATTACGATTAGCATGTATAGTGTTGGGGGGCTCCAGGGAGGGCTGTGCAACACAGAGAAGACAAGTAGTGATTTTACAGCATCTTACTACACTGATGGACAGTGACTGTGAAGGGGTATGTGGGGGAGACTTGGTGAAGGGGGGAGCCCAGTAAACATAATGTTCTTCATGTAATTGTAGATTAATGATACCTAAGTAAAAAAGAAAAAAGGCAAGGTTCTCTGAGAGCACAAAGGCACTTCAGTTACTTATTGGCTGTGTATTCTTGGTGCAATTTAGGTATGCTCTATATAGACCTAGAAGTTAAAACTTAAGAGAGAATGCGGAGGGGAAAGCATATAGTGATAATGGCCCAAACCTTGGGATTCATTCTAAATTCAACAAATATTTATTGTGCATCTACTAATCACAACATTTGAACAGTAAGTTATTAAAAAGCCATAAGGAAATTCTTCAGAGGAGACAAAATGACCAGCCAAAGGGGTAGCAGAACAGCTAGGTGAGAGTAGAAGCCTAAAGAATAGAGGCTTTCAAGAGAGAAAGTAATTATCAGCCCCTGAGAGGTTAAAGAGGCTGGGAATTGAGATAAGCCAGGGGGCTTAGGAAGCCACATGACAATGAACGAATGGTACTTATAGAAATAAAATAAACCAATGGTGCTTATGGAAATAAAATAAAACAAGAACCTAAAATGCCTGTACTTAATAGGTCCCGAAAAACGAGTACCTTGTATTTTCCCCAAGAAACTGTAATATTATAACAGGAGATATTTCTCATTGATTTTTTTTTTTAGGACTGAGTTTTCTGGAAGCAGTGGGTGTCATTCTAATGTGGCAGCCTCTCATCTAATTAACCCATTTTGCTCTTAGCCTCTAGGGTCTGCTATAAAAATCACAACTGTTGGTTTTATGTTTGTTTTTAGTAATTTTAATTGGTATACTAATCAGTTAGTAACCAATTTGGTGATGAAGAACATGGGAGGTAGAGGTGTAATTTCTGTTCTCAGCTCCCTACAATGGACAAGTTTAAATTAATTGATGTTTTCAGTGTTTGTAACATGCACTTAAAGGCCAAGGCCTTAGGTTAATTTCCCATTAAGAAAGGAAAGAGCTGAATTTTCCCACCTGCATTGCCAATGTTTTTTGCTGGGTCCAAAAGCATTCTGGGAGCCAAGCCGTTCTGGACTCTCAGACAAGACCAGCCCACTTATAAATGTTCTAGAGTATAAAAAGGTACTTGGCTGTAGCTTGAGTAGCATTTAGTTGTGGGGAGTGTATGTGTATATGTGTGCATGTGTATTTAAAGTCTTTTTTTCTAGGGTGCCTAAACGGCTCCACGTGAAAATTACAATGTACCTTTTGCTTAATTATTTTGGATTTCTTTTGAAATTTCTCACCATCTGCGGTGTAGGCACAGCAGAGGGGAGTTAAATAAGCACATTCATTCAACAGATTTATTGATTTCTGATATATGTATTACCTGTCCTTCACAGCAGTCTGCACTTAATTCCGCATCAGTTAAATTTTAATTCTATGAAAGACAGGTTGCATCTCCTTTTAGTCTTATAATAAAGTGATAGTTGACTTAGTTCTCATAGCAGCTGCTCCCAGCTAGGTGCTCAGTAGCAGTTCCTTCAGACAGAAAATTATATACCAAGTTGCTGAGTTCCAGTTTAATCCAGAGTTTATAAATAGAAGACTTAATCTTTGATTATGACCATAGTCTCCCTTTTTAGACTCCTTGTATATTCTTTTTTTCCATCATCCTCATTATTACTCAAATTACTGCATTGTCAGTATTTAAAAAAATTTAAATGACAAGGGACGTATATAAGGTAAAAAGTGGAAGTCTTTCGCTTTTAAATAGGACTTAAAATATGTTCTTGATAGTCCCATAATGTATATTAGTTGTTTGGGGTATTTTTCATATCTCAGTTTTCAAATAGATGTTCAGTAATGAATATGATAAATAAGTGATACTCTTCAAATATCTCCTAGATGCATACCCAAGAGTAATGAAAACACATTTCCACATGAGAACTCGTACATGAATATTCTTAGCGTCATTGTTCATACTAGCCAAAAGGTGGAAACAGCACAAATGTCTACCAACTGATGAATGGATAACCAAATGTAGTCTGTCCATGCAATGGAATATTAATCAGCCACTAAAAAAAAGCACTTACACATGTTACAGCATGGATGAACCTTGAAAATATTGTAAGTGGAAGAAGCCAGTCACAAAAGGCCACTCACTATACGGTTCCTTTATAGGAAATGTCCAGAATAGGGGAACTTA